TGTATTTTTTAATTAATTATTCATTTTTTTTTAAAAAAAAAAAAAAAAATTAAAAAATTTATTTTATATGAACATTTATCTAACTTTATAGTTAAAGCTATATAATCAAAGAAGTACATGTCATGTTTTAAATTAAATCTCTGTATAAATGATTATGGTGCACCTGCGCAGTGTCTGCACCTCGTGATCGGTAAATTTGCTTATTAAATAAATTTAGTTTTAACAAACCATTTTTTTTCTTTTTTGGTTGATAATAAAATTTGAAAGATCAATAATACGAAAACGAAAGAATTTACAATGCAATTTTTTATGTTTGTTCATATATATAATTTATTTTATTAATATATTAAAGTGATTACGTTATCAATTTTGTCAATTTTCTGATGAATTTGTCTTAAAATCATCTCGATTTCATTCAAATTAACTTCAATCATTTCAACCATTTACACTCAAAATATGTATGAAAATAATAATGTGTACATTTAATTATTAACTCAATTACTTTCATAATATCATATTGAAAATGAATCTTGCTTAAATGCAAATAATTGTACTAGAAACGAAACAAAATTCTTTTATTCATTTATATAAATTTAATATTTTTTATTTTATTTTTTAATTACTTGAAATACTTCATAATCTTCTACTTCAAAATTTGCTGGGATTCCTATTTTGGGATAACGTTCTCCACTATCATAATTATTGTAAGACCAAACATTACCTTCACAGAATAAATTACCCATAGTTGGACCATAATGAGAGGCACAACAAACAGCGTTAAACTTCTTGCTAACATAACTCCTTTTTGCGGTAGAAATATCTCTTCCATTTGTAAAATTAAATAAAAAACTGTCCGCTGTATATTTCCAAGACTGACTTTGATCCCAGTCAAGTGGATTATACCCACCAATTAATTGAGTAGAATTTTTGATTTTTGCGATCCAAATAGTAGCTCCTTTATTATCACAATTTCTATGAAATGATAAAACATTATTTCCGTCCTGACTTGAGCGATATAATAATTTAAAGTCATAAGGAATATTTTTTCTATTATATTGTGAAGAATCATCTTTTCTATCAATCCAAGAAGCAAAAATGGGAATGTGGTCTGATTCAATCAAGGTTGAATCAAGTTGATATTTTGGTATTCTCGAAGGTGTCAGATTAGATTTAGGTTTCATATCGGGAACTATATGAAATTCTAAAAGATTATGAATTAAATCTTGTGGTAAGACATCTTTATAACAATAAACTTTATAAAAGAAATCTGCAGGTTTAATATCATAAAATCGAATTAAAGGAATAAATTTGTACAATGCCCTTTCAATCTTTGTAATATCATCTTTATTCCATTTTGATGGTTCATCCTTTATATTTTGTTGAGCAAAACACCATTTTAACAAATTCTCCCAAATTTCAATTTCATCCATATTTAAATAATCTCTTTTTAACAATGATTCTAACAAAGGAGCTTTTAAATCAGTAAAACTATTAGAACTGAATAAAGCTTTAGGTTCTTCACAAATTTTTTCAAGACAAAAATCCCATAAATCCGTAAATGTTTCATGTTGATAAACAGTTTCAAGAATTCCAGTTGGGTTTTGATATAAAAATTCAGTTTGGTGTTCAATCAAAAATTCTTGAATATGAGAAACCAAAGAATGAATATTGAGCTCATCAACTGCTATTAACAATTTCAATACATCGGGACCTTGTAAATCCTTTAATTCAATATTTCCACAATAAATAAATCTAATAAATAATAATATAGTATAATATTAATTAGACTTTCCCCTTATAACATAAAGTTAAAATTTTAAAAATTAAAATTATAAATACCTAAGAATAATATTAAACAATTGTGGAGAAATATTAGGTTTTTTGAAAATAAATTTTCCATCTTTTTTCTCAGCCCATTCATTAGAAAATGCTGAACGAAAATATTGAGACCTAATAGATAAAATATTTGAATGGGCATGAATTTCCTTAACATTTTGTTCTTCACCAGCATAAATAATAACGTCATATCCAACTTCTGTCTCAAAAAGTTTTTCGTAATCGTTAGATAATTCTGCCCAAAATTTTGAAGACATTGTTATTAATTTTTAAATGTAATTACTAATTAATAAGAATAAGCAAGAAATGATGGAAATGAAGCAAAAAAATTTAAGTTTGAAGTACGAACCCTTTTTATATTTATTTTATGATGATCAGTTTCTATAACCGATTCGAAATGGCCGGCATTAGGATTAGTAATACTACCCGGTATCCGTACTAATACTACCGGTATATTATAAATAGTATTACAACTGATTTCATAATGTACGGGAGACACCCATCATTTTTACTCCATGCCGAGAGAAACTCGGTAAGATTTGGTATAACTAAGAATAAAATAAAAACTATACCATCCATGATCGGACCAGTGCTCCGAATCTAACAATATGGTTTTACCTTATTCTGATCTTTACCGAGTTTTACCGAATGTATCGAGTCGTCTCTCGGTAACTATTAGGTGTCCCGTATATTATGAAATCAGCTGTAAATATGGTACGTTGATCAAATTAAATAACTTACCGCAGCAAATTATTCTTGATAATTTATTTAAAATGGACTGGAAAAGCTGAATAGGCATTGGAATTAATTCTACTAAAATCAAATTAATCGAATCGATATCGTTATGGTATTGATTTAAAAAAATAAATCTACTTTAAAATTTTTTAAATTAAAAAATAAATTAATGTCTCTCTATAGCCAACATAAAGTGATAAGATAGAAACTAAATATATAAAAAAATTCTTTCAAAAAAAAAAATCCGTTTTAAATAGTAATACTTAGTCTTATTTTAATACTTGTCTTTGCAACCTACCTTTCTGCAAGACTACATGATTTGAGCATTAATTAAAAGGCAAGATACCCCCTGTCTATGTATGTCCTCCTACTAACGTAACATGTGATTCTCAAAACTTATGGGGCTGTATTTTACCGAACCAATTTTTTTCAATTTTTTTTCCTTTTTTATTTTTTTTGGTTAAATTGACTTTTACCGATTATTTTTTGCCGAGATGCTTTTTTATTTTCCAATAATAAAATCTTAATTTACTGATGAAAAAATCTGACAATTAAACCTTTTTGACAAAAAAAAAAATATTAGATAATCATTTATTACTAATTTTGCAAAAAAATAATTTGTATTTTAAAAAGTAAAAAAAAAATCTATTCTATTGTACTTTTTTAATTAACAATTAATTAACTTAATTATTCAACAACAAATTTGAAAAAAAATTTTTCTTAAACTTTGATAATTATACAATATTATAATAATTACTATAATAATGATATTTTGGATCGTATAAAGCACATGATTTATGTTGATTATAGGTCGTTTTCAATTACTATATATAAATATAACTGATATAACTGACCGGAAATCCATTTTTTGATTACGAATTGGAATAATAATAATAATAATAATTTAGTATTACTTAATTTAGTTAGTAAAGTCAATGCGAAGCATGAAAACATAATAGAAATTTTCAATTGTTGTTTAAAATAAACAATATCACATGTCTTAATTTTTTTAGTTAATTTTTGGATAGCTTAACTATCCCACAACTTTTGAAAAGAAAAAAATTCAATATAGATGCCTCCTGTTCGGTGGGTGGCAGGGGTGGCAGGGTGGGTTGTCCGGACATGATTTGAAACGTACAGTGCCATACGAAAAGTAACGTAACGACGTAACGTATATGTATATGTATTATACATATACATAAAATTTTGTCTTCCTTTTTAGGACGCTAATCTATCATGTTTGGTATTGTTTTACAAATTATGTAATATATTCTCCATTGTCTTAAATATGACTTTCCATTTTCGTAATTGAATCAATCAACAAATCTTTTAAGGGTGTAAGTAAAAAAGACAAGGGCGTGAAATAATTTAGAATTATTAAAATGATATTTTTGAGTTTTCTCTTTGCATTGTTTAATATTGATTAATAGAGTTACTTTTTCTTTCAAAATTAATTTTTAGAATTTTGTGAGCTTGAGCACTGTTTGAGCACTTTGATAAAAAGATTGATAATTACACAAAAAGTCTCAGAAGTATCGTTTATGAAGAAGAAGGACACAGACACGAAGTTGCACAGCAACTACTTGATGAATATCCTACGGAGAATATGAAAGTTTTGTTGAAATGTAGATTGACCTTCTAGACCATGCAACAGATGAGAAACATGAGAAACTAAATATATTAGTCAAAGAATGGTGCCAATTCTAAATACTTCATTCATCGTTGGATGATTGGAAAAGATCACTCTAGTACTAGTATAAGTAGGCTTGGATTTAAAGAGAGATTCGCAGGTGCATTTTTTTGTCTGAAGTTGTGAGAATCAACAGATTGTTGGCCTTCTGATAACATTCAACTCTTTCTTTTTTTGTAGTCTGATGATTTCCAACCTAGTATTAACTAATAACAAAGCGAAAAAAACGATTATCACTTAAAAAGGTTAGGATATTGAAATCATAAGTTTTCCTGAATTTTACGTGAACATTTTTAATGACTACTTTTGATATCTATAATATCTACAGAACAAAGATATATTAGCCCTGTAAATGTTAGCCCTGTGATTGTCATTCCTAAGAATGTCAATATTAGCCCTGCGAGCAATATTCCTATAAAAAAAAATCCGGAAAAAACTCATAAATGATATTACGAAGAAACTCAGACACATGATCATTTTTCTGAAAAATTTTATAAGGCAATTGAAAAAGTATATTCCACAAGAGAAACTCAAGGACTACTTAATAAACTAGAAAAAGAAAGAATGTTAGCCAAGTGCCCAAGTCAACCTGTAAATAAGTTGTGTTTACTAATGTTTATTTTTTATGTTCTTGTATCATATTATTAACTAATCAATTTTTTTTGTAGTAAACCCATATGTTCAAATATAATAGACACAACAAACAAACCTTTAATGGAAAGATTTAGGACAACCCAAGGTTACTTATATCTTATGGGAATGAGACTTGAATTGATTGTTAATGTAAGTTATGAGATTTATCAATAATTTCCTTTTTCTTCATAATCATTATTATTTTCATGTCTTTTCCCTTATTTCTGTTTTTAGTCTGATATCTGCACTAAACAAACTTTGAATTTAGTGAATAATGATTTTTAAAATTTCAACCTTGCCACAATATGGATTTGATTTTAAAAATTTCTGCAATGAAACTAAGAAATTTATTCTATTACTCTCAGTGATTAAATAATTTTAACTTCAAAATAAGATAAATGATATTTTTATAAATCTAATTTGTAAAATAATTCAGAATCCATCTAAAATGAAATAATAAATGCATTAGTAAAATTAGTAAATCATTATAATAAACAATTGTATATATTTTGAAAAAAATAAACAAACCATTAGGAATTTCCAATTCCTCTTGTTCTTCTGAATGAAGATTTGGATTATTATAATCATCGTCATCTATGAAATGAAAATAATATAAAATTATTTATTATCTAAAAAAATTTTTATAAATAATCGTTTACCTACCATCAATATCACAGGTTTGTGGTTGACGTATTGTATTTTCATAATACTTATTCTGTATATTAACTATTGTTAAATAAAATAACATTTAATAAATACTTATTTATTCAATAAATTCCAATTTGAGTATTTAATTTAATCTTACCACTTTTTGAATTTACCCGTAATTTTTTAAACACCCCGGTCAATCTCGTACTACCAGCTAAAATTAAGATATTAATACTTAGTATTTAACATAAATTAAATATTTATTCTTATTTTAAATTACCTTCAATAACAATACTATTTCTTTTGTTATTCTTATTACTTGATCGGCCAAAATCATCAACTAAAAAAATAAAAAAACATTATATCATATAAATTTAAATTCAACATAAATTAAAAAACACTTACTATTTGTTGGAATATTAAAGTCATATAATTTACTATGAAATGCTATTAAATAAAGAATTTATTTTTTAATTTATTATTGATTAATTTGTCTTTTTAATAGGAATAAAAATTAAATTTATCACCTTCTTGTTGTTCTGTTATTATTTAAATAAAAAAAAAGATTGTATTAGTAATAACAAGGAAAGAATAATAGTTATCAAATTTTGATAAATTATACTACCTTCTGTTGCATTTTTTGGTTCAGGCAAATTTTCAAATTTATGAATTTTACTTGAAAATATTTCACTGCTACTTGTATGGTAACTTGTTTTTTCATTTATTTTTATTTTTAATTGAGATAATTCATTTGGGTTATTTTGATAATATGACTTAATTTCTTTTATTTTCTTGGAAAGTGTACGAATATCAGGCCTTTTTAATGGATCAGCATCCCAGCATTTTTCCATTAAATTTTTGTATTTTAAAGGAATTTCTGAAATAATTTTTGGCCTCATACCATTAATAATATTAAGAGCAAGATCGTAATTATGCTCATGATTCATAAATGGTGGTAGTCCAACTGAAACTTCCCACATAAGCATGCCAATACTATAAATATCAGATTTAAAAGTATATTCTTTTCCATTAATAATTTCAGGTGCTATATAAGGAAGATTACCATATATACTTGTTGATAGTCTATCTACAGGACCACAAAATCCGAGATCACTAATACACCAATTATCACTAAATTGGGAATATAATATATTTCCAGAATGCAAATCTCTATGAATTGAATTCTCTTTATGAATATAATAAATTGCATTGATTATTTTATGCATAATTTCAATTCTCTCTTTCCATATTAGTTGATTATTATTTTGTTGTAAATATTCTCTCAAATTTATATTCATCCTATCCATTACAAGCATATAATTACCATTTGATGGATTTTGTGTTAAACCATAACATTGAACAATTAATGTGTACTTATTACTTATAGTTAAATGTGATTTAGCCTGTAAAAAATAATTTTAAAATCAGTTTTATTAATTATAATTTTTAAAACATTAACGTCAAATCTTTTTTAAGATAATTTATTAGTTTATTACAAACCTCTTCAAACCAATTTTGACTTGCATTTTCAATATTTTCTAACTCCTTTAATATTACAACTTGATTTACAAATCTTTGTAATTGTTGATTCTCAGAATCCCATTCATAATATCCTCCATTAATCCAAGTAGCTCTATAAATTTTAGCAAATCCACCTTTTGTTAAATATTCAATCTTTTGTAAATTATTATATGGGATCCATTCAGTTATCATATTTGGATTGAGTGTTTCTGATTGACATTTTTGTATTAAATTATCAATATCATTATTTCCAGATGACCAACTTGAAAATTTTCCTTTTAAATGATTTCGGACACAATATTCACAATATGATGTAGCCAAACATTTTTTATTACAATTTTCACAAATTCTTCTTGTTCCTTCATTACGACGAATTTTTTCTCGATCACAATTTTTATTACATAATCTTATTGCTTCAGTTTTTTCATCATTTGTAAGAGAATTATCAGCAAGAATCGTTTGTTTTATAAATTCAAATTGTTTTTGTATATTTTCGCGATTCTTGGAATCAATTGATGTAACTGCTTTACTTAATGTTGCGCAAATTAATCCTCTTCGAATAGTAGACATAATATAATTTTTTTTAAAAAGAAAAATATATAAATATATATATATTTGTTAACTTTGAAAAAATAAATTATAGCGAATAACGTTCATATGATGTACAAAGAAGCAGAAATAAAAGCAAGATTTTACGCTCTTTTATAACGGAGCAAATTATAAATTTAGCATGATGTAACTGATGTATACACTTATGGTTAGAACTTAGAGTTGTATTACTCAAATGTAACATAAAAAATTTTTTTTTTGTACGAGGAAAAAAAAAAAATTGATACTACGCCATACGCCACAGCATTATACTAAAAAAGTATATCCTGTTGATTTTTTTTTTTAAAAAAAAAAATCCCAAAAATAAAAAAAAAATCAAATGAAATTATGATTAATTCTCGTATACAAGTGCTTGAAATAATAAATTATTTTTTATTTTTCTAAAAAAAAATAAATGAATAAATGAATGAATGAATAAAAAAAATAACAACGATTCAACGAATAATTCATATCCTCCAGATCAACAGAATGCATATTATTTTAAAACGCCAAGATTATCACGCGCATTCTGCAGATCTGCGGGAAATGAACACAATATCACTAACGTAAAGGGGATAAGCCACAAACATTTGAAAAAACGTCTAATGGAAATCTTTTTTGCTTTTGGTTTCCTATTTACTGGTGTCGATCCAACAAAGAACTTTATATAATACGCTTATAATATATAATATATAAATTTATACTGAATCAAGACCTTTTTTTTTATTTTTTAGTTCTTATTGTTTTAACTTATTACTGTATTAGGAATACTTTTGTAAACCATTTCTTTATAACAATACTTAAACTTTAAGGTTAATTTTGTTTTACCTGAAGGAAAAAACGTGTAGGGAACTTTTTAGCAGGAAGTGTATAATCAAGTAATTCATTACGGCCATTCAAAAAATAAAAGATATTATTTTGTTGATCGTAATAATATTGTCATTAATGAAAATACTATGAATATAAAAAATTTTTTTTGTCAGCGAAAGTTTTGAAATCCCGTACCGAGTTTTAGGAACCTCATATAATTCAACAAAATTATTTGCCACTGACGTACTGTACTTATGAAAAATGATCGGCGCATACACTACCTTTAATGTATTGACAATTACGCTTTTTGTAGTTTAACATTAGTTAAATAACTAGCTTTATAAGTTAACTCATATAACTCATACAGGACCCATCGAATTTCTCCTTGTTACACGAAATCTGATTGGTTGATTCGTGTAATATGATTATGTAACCTACTATCATTCTCTTTTTCTCGTGCCATGTATTTAATGCCCTTATGTAAAAGTTGTAATACAGTGGAAGTATTTAATTTAGTTGGAAAAAACGTTTTTATAATTAATTTAACGAAAAAAACGTTGCGAACCGTTTTTCAAAGTAATTTTAATTAAATAAACGTTTTCGCAACATTTTTTAATTAATTTAACAAAAAAAAGTTGCGAAACGTTTTTTTAAAGTAATCTTAATTAAATATTTTTGTTTTATAAACATTCAGATTTTTTTTAATAATAATAATAATTTTTTTTTTTTTTTTGATCTTTTTTCAAGCTGATTTTTTTTAAAATTTTTTTTCCCTTCATAATCTATTTAATAATAATTTTTTCTTAATTGTTTTTTTTTTTCTCATTTTTTTGGTGTGTATTAAAGATAATAAATTATTGTAAAATTTTCAATTATCAATTTAATTTATAAACTTATTAACTCAATTATGGTTAAAAAATATTTATTATAAATTCGAATGTCATGATTTTATTAGAAATGAACAAGTTCAAAATGAATCACATTTCATATATTTTACATTTTATAGTCCTAACTCCCCTTTAAACATGAACTCTTGTTTTTTTTTTAAAAAAAAAAATAATTTCAGTTATAAATTTATATATACAATCCGGGTTTATGCTCTGGACTTGTATCCGGCGGGTGAATTTATAAAAAAAATTTGCATGATTGCATCCCGTTGAAGGTATCTATTTGGAACTAACAATTAATCCAAAAAAAAACCTTGCTGAATTGAAGCTGATATCTACAAAAATGAAAATAATGTCTTTAGTATTTCTTTATAAAAAATAGATAAAGAATCAAAAAAAGTAAAGAAAATAATAATTAATTCGGAAAGACTAAAGAATTAATTTTGGTCATATGCTGATTAACCACTAAACTAGTCCACTCCAAGTCTGTTTTGAAGAGCTGGTCCCATCCCTAGTCACAGTCACGCTAACTTCTTCATTTTATAACTGATTTTCTTGTTGCTCTATTTCTTTAGAACTGAAAATAACTGATACAATTAAAAGTACAATATTATTTAGTTCCAATATCACTTGACAAATTTCATGTTGTCAAATTTTAAGATTGATCTCCATCGGCTATACTAATTTACGCTGTAGCGTGCACAGTGAAATTCGATTAATTGGATCTTCGATAAACCGGATTTGGGCCCAAACCGGACTTTTTTGCTGGAACCATCTTGCCTTTTAATTAATGCTCAAATCATGTAGTCTTGCAGAAAGGTAGGTTGCAAAGAAAAGTATTAAATGAGACTAAGTATTACTATTTAAAATGGATTTTTTTTGAAAGAATTTTTTTATATATTTAGTTTCTATCTTACCACTTTATGTTGGCTACAGAATGACATTAATTTATTTTTTTTTTTAATTTAAAAAATTTTAAAGTAGATTTATTTTTTTAAATTATCAAGAATAATTTCAGTTGCTGCGGTAAGTTATTTAATTTGACCAACATACTCGTACCAAATTTACAGCTGATTTCATAATATACGGGACACCTAATAGTTACCGGCGAGAGACGACTCGATACATTCGGCAAAACTTGGTAAAGTTCAGAATAAGGTAAAACCATATTGTTAGATTCGGAGCACTGGTCCGATCACGATGGTGTAGTTTTTATTTTATTCTGAGTTATACCAAATCTTACCGAGTTTCTCTCGGCATGGATGGGTGTCTCCAGTACATTATGTAATATACCAGTACGGATACCGGGTAGTATTACTAATCCTAACGCCGGCAATTTCGAATCGGTTATAGAAACTGATCATCATAAAATAAATATAAAAAGGGTTCGTACTTCAAAACTTAAATTTTTTTACTTCATTTTCTGCATTTCTTGCTTATTCTTATTAATTAGTAATTACATTTAAAAAATTAATAACAATGTCTTCAAAATTTTGGGCAGAATTATCTAACGATTACGAAAAACTTTTTGAGACAGAAGTTGGATATGACGTTATTATTTATGCTGGTGAAGAACAAAATGTTAAGGAAATTCATGCCCATTCAAATATTTTATCTATTAGGTCTCAATATTTTCGTTCAGCATTTTCTAATGAATGGGCTGAGAAAAAAGATAGAAAATTTATTTTCAAAAAACCTAATATTTCTCCACAATTGTTTAATATTATTCTTAGGTATTTATAATTTTTATAATAAATTTTATGTTATAAGAGGAAAGTCTAATTAATATTATACTATATTATTATTTATTAGATTTATTTATTGTGGAAATATTGAATTAAAGGATTTACAAGGTCCTGATGTATTGAAATTGTTAATAGCAGTTGATGAGCTCAATATTCATCCTTTGGTTTCTCATATTCAAGAATTTTTGATTGAACACCAAACTGAATTTTTATACAAAAATCCAACTGGAATTCTTGAAACTGTTTATCAACATGAAACATTTACAGATTTATGGAATTTTTGTCTTGAAAAAATTTGTGAAGAACCTAAAGCTTTATTCAGTTCTAATAGTTTTACTGATTTAAAAGCTCCCTTGTTAGAATCATTGTTAAAAAGAGATGATTTAAATATGGATGAAATTGAAATTTGGGAGAATTTGTTAAAATGGTGTTTTGCTCAACAAAATATAAAGAATGAACCATCAAAATGGAATAAAGATGATATTACAAAAATTGAAAGGGCATTGTACAGATTTATTCCTTTAATTCGATTTTATGACATTAAACCTACAGATTTCTTTTATAAAGTTTATTGTTATAAAGATATCTTACCACAAGATTTAATTCATAATCTTTTAGAATTTCATATAGTTCCCGATATGAAACCTAAATCTAATCTGACACCTTCGAGAAAACCAAAATATCAACTTGATTCAACCTTGATTGAATCAGACCACATTCCCATTTTTGCTTCTTGGATTGATAGAAAAGATGATTCTTCACATTATAATAGAAAAAATATTCCTTATGACTTTAAATTATTATATCGCTCAAGTCAGGATGGAAATGATGTTTTATCATTTCATAGAAATTGTGATAATAAAGGGGCTACTATTTGGATCGCAAAAATCAAAAATTCTACTCAATTAATTGGTGGGTATAATCCACTTGACTGGGATCAAAGTCAGTCTTGGAAATCTACAGCAGACAGTTTTCTATTTAATTTTACAAATGGGAGAGTTATTTCTACCGCAAAAAGGAGTTATGTCAGTGCGCCGAATGTGGCTGTTTGTTGTGCCTCTCATTGTGGTCCAACTATGGGTAATTTATTCTGTGAAAATAATGTTTGGTCTTACAATAATCTTGGTAATGGAGAACGTTATCCTAAAATAGGAATCCCAGCTAACTTTGAAGTAGAAGATTATGAAGTATTTCAAGTAATTAAAAAATAAATAAAAAATATTAAATTTATATAAATGAATAAAAGAATTTTGTTTCGTTTCTAGTACAATTTTTTGCATTTAAGCAAGATTCATTTTCAATATGAGTAACATTTTCTTTATCTTCACAAATAAGTTCTTTAACTTTAAACCATCCTTTAAAATATCTTTCAACAACTTCTAATTTACCATCAACATATTTAACTACAACTCTTTTTTGTTTCGCTTCTTTAAGAATAAATTTCGTTGTTTTTCTTCAAAATCTTTAATTAAATTATCATTTTCATTAAAAGAATCTAAAGAATTAAAATTTTCTAAATCATCATTTTTAATATCTTTTCTAATTTCTTCATTAGCTTGATCAAATCTAACCAAATTCTAAATCTTGTACCAACTCCAACTTCACTTTCAACATCTAATTTATGTACCAACTTGAAAGAATTTTCTTGAGAAAATGGTTGAAACATATCTTTAAAATAAATAAATATTTGGCGCGCCTGATATAATAATAATTATTCAATTTTGATGAAACTATTGCCTTACTAGTCTAAGAAAATTTCTAATTTGCCCACTCAAATAACTTGATATTACCATCCTTTACCAAAAATTTCCGCGAATGAGTTTGACATAAAGTTTGATATTGGCGGCATATAATGATTTTCAGTGTATTTTAATACATCAGTTTCACTACGTTCTGCTTCATATTTCAATTTTTTCAGATTTGGACCGTTAATTGGTAAATCGTATAATTGCTGTTCTAGCTTGGCTATTTCTTTTAGCGTAATAGAACTATTATTGTTTTCAATTTCTTGCTTTATAACTTCTACTTGCTTCAAGTAATTTTCTCTTGTGGCTTCAAGCCCTCTGAGGATTCTTTCATCATAATGACTTGAGTTGGCATTTCTCTTAATTTTCTCTTCCTTTATGCAAAGATCAAGATAGTCAACATATGCGTCATTATAAGCAGCTATTGCATTTTGTCTTGAGAATTGTGTAAACTTAAGGCTAATTTCTTTTATTTTCTCCCATTCTTTTTGTAGTTGATCAACTCTTTTTTGATGCACCTCTATAACTGCTCTTTTGTTTTCTTGGTCTGACTTTATTTCCGAAATCTGTAATTCCATAATATCATACAGCTTTCCTTCAAGTTCCTCTATGGTTTTGCTGGAATTATTTATTTCTTCTTGGTTTTCTTTTATTAATATGATGCTTTTCTGAATTAGACGTTCTATCTCTGCGAAAGGTCTGGAAAGAAGTAACACTGTGTTCCTAAAGTTATTGAGTGATAAAGTGTCTTTTACTATATGAGGTTTACACTTTACAAGGTATTTAATGAGCCTTAGTGATTCATCCACGGATCTTTTCCAACTTTCTGCTAAATTTTGTTCCTCGTTCTGTGTAAACTTTATTTCCTTAATTGCTGTTAAATATTCAAATGATTCATTATCAAAACAGTATATTATATCTTTGTGAACCTTTATTTCAACATCAGACTTAGTCTGTTTCTTAAGTTTCTCAAGTTGTTTTTTAAGTGGTAGTAATGTATTCCTGGACGATAATGTGTTTCTCTGGTATTAGTAAAGCAGAAGACAATATTATCCTTGGCACTCTTGTGAAGGTGTGTTAACAATTCTAGTATACAATATTTGAATACTATGCTATATCGTGAATTATTAGGTTTGAGAAGGATACATATCCCATTTAAATACTGGTAATGACTAATATACCACAGAATGTTTTCACAATTTTTCTTGTCATATTCTGATCCTCTGGTATCTCCTATTCCAGGAGTATCTATCAATCTTATTAGTCTATTTTCAGGTAAATGAAATACATAGCTTTCACATTCTCGAGTAGATGATTCACCTTCTTCTAATGGTTTATTTGAATCATAATTACCTAATTTTATCGTTACTGACTCGTAATTATCATCCATATACGTAAATTCTGGTGGAATTAATACCTCTATATCTCCAGATTTTGCATTATCTAATGTGTTAAATTTAAGATAATTTGCAAAAGCATTTATAAATGTTGACTTTCCTACGCCAGTTTCACCAAGTAATAATATGTTTATCTTCCTGTGACGGTACTGATGGTGACAAATCGTTAAGTTTGTTTGACTCAAAAGCTATGTATCCTTTTGTGTGATGGGGACTATTACACTTAAATTTAGAATGAGTAATATTGCTTTCACCACATTCACAGTATAAGTGCTCATTATACCCGTATTCTACATGCTTTTTACATCTGAAACATCTCCAATTGGAATCAATAGTTGGGCAATCTTGAGGACAGGGTATTTCCAATTTTGTCTTCTCGCTGGGATTGTTTTTTGGCTTGGTACTTGGTAGAGGATCAAATTTAATAAGATTTGATGTGAATAATATCTTATTATCCTCATAATAATTGTCACTATCTAGTCTTCCATTGATATAATGTCGAATTATTGGATAACTAGAACATTTTATTTGAGTACATATTTTAAGATTAGCTATGAAGAATTTGCTTGACCCTTCATCTGAATTGTAAAGATCTCGAAACATAGTATGCACTGAAGAGGAATTAAAATCAATAATATATTCATTATTATCAAGGAGTATAAAAATATCACTATTTGAATATTTATGTAAAATATGCTCGATGGTTGAATTTTTTCCAAGAAACTCTACTCTTTTGGTCTTTAATATGGGTACCAATTCAGCCAATGTAGATACCGAACGATGTTGGCGAAAGAATTCCATCATAGAATTTTTAGATAATATACTCTTATGAAATTTTTTTAATTTATTTTCAAGTTCGATAATATTAATCTTACCAGAGCGTACTTTAACAAGACATTCTGCAAGTTCGCGTCTAAAATTTGCTTCGTTTATTCTAACTTCTTGTACACGATTGCTAATTTGAGCAAAAACCTTGTCCATTATGAAATTAGAAGTAGATTGTGCGTCATTATATAAGTCGTTGAGCCTTTGTTTTGATTCGGACAAACCATCAAAAACTTGTTCTACTCTTAGGATAGTTTCTTCGCTTAATTCCGTTATCATATTATCTATCGCGACATCCTGAATAAATAGTTTTGCAAGTTCCGACAATGGATATAAAGTATATTCAATTGGAACTCCTTTCCCATCATTGTATTGTTTGGTGTATAAAGGAAGTTCAGCAACTAATTTCCTAGCTTCATCAAAGGATTGAGGAAGTTCTTTATTATTTGGAACAACATCACCAAGAAGTTTTATAGAGAAATGGCTAATAATGTTAGAATATCGTTCTTCAACACTTACGTGACCACCTCCAGAGATCTTTATTTTTTCAAAGTGACATTTTAGCGCTCCTTCAACATGAGATCTATTTTCTTCATTCGTGTCTTTACATTCAAATGATGCCATTATAGTAGCTCCCCACTTTATTCCTATCACCACGTGAGTAGCATTCTGGTTATTAGTAAACACATCTGTAGAAATACAAGCTTTAACATCGTCACGATGAATAACCAAATTTTCCTCAACTGAAGTTATTTTATATATTAAAGTTCCCTTCACGGATTTAAGACTATCTTTTTCATCGTTTAGATACTTTCCTGAACCTTCTAAAGGAATCAATCCTGTGAGAACACTTAATTTTAGTTCAGCTTCAACGTCTAACTTGTTAAACTTTTCCTTATATGTATTCTCATATTCATATAAAATTTCAGTATGTGAAATATCAACCTTTCTTATGGAATCATCTGGATACTTTGACTTAAATATCGTGGTCCCGCAGAATGTATCATTTGCTACATTATATAGGGATCCAATAAATGCGCCTCTCCCAAGGGACTTCCGTGTTATTACTTTAGTACTTGCCATAAATTAAAGCCAATAACAAGGGAAAATAGAATTGCGATGGAATATTGGGTCAGAACAATTATTGATTATAAAAAGAAAACTAAAGTTTTCCTGTCTGCGATTTGCGATTGTCGAAAATTATATGTATAAGGATGGTTCATGCAATGATAGTAAGTTGTTTCACAATAATTTGGTATTTTATTATGCCGAGTGACAAATAAAGGGATTAATTGTGGAAAAATAAGGAATTTTTTTTAAAATTTTTGCTCTATAAATAATTGCAACAAAAATTTAAGTAATTGTAATTTTTTGCATCGTTATTTTATTTTATTTTATTTTTTTTTTTTTTTTTTTTTTTTTTTTTTTTTTTTTAAAAAAAAAACAAAATAGTGTATTTATTTGAAAAAAAGAAAGCCATTTACTTACAAAAATATCAAGATCGTCATGAAAGATTTCTAAAATTAAAATGGCATTTTTTAGTAATGTATCAATTTGATTAGTGGGGCAGCATCAGTAACCGCAAATGGTCACATGACTTCGTGAATGAATAACAATAAAATACCCGATACCTATACATATAAAATAAAAAATTATATAAAAACATATTAGTATAGATTATAAAGAGAAAAACACCGGGATGAAGGAATGAAAATTTATTAAAATCTCGGTTTCAAAAAACTAAAAAAAAATAATATTAAAAATATTTAAAACAAGATCCGGTCTTAAAAAAAAAGAGATCAAAAAAAAAAAATGATACGGTCTAAAAAAGACCATTATTAAAAATAAAAAATGATCCGTTTCTATAAATTCATTTTATGCTATTTTTAGACCACTTTATAAGCTTTATTTAAACTTTTACTATAAAAATTTCATCTACATCATATTTTTTTACTCCACTTTATAATCCTGTAATCATATTATTGCTATACCTAATAATATGAAAATCTACATGATCCTATTGGGCTGAACGATAATTTCGAATCAGTAATTTAACGGTTAATGGACTTTTAATTCTTTAATAATTTAATACTTGTATATTATATAAACGTGATGAAGCAATGTAAAACTTGATTGTAACTGATTTTAGTCGTCAGTCAATTATAGATATCAACTACATTAATTGATTACATTAACTTTGAAAGTTACTTTAAGAATGGTGAAATAACATTTATAATTTACTTTTCTATAAAATATTTTTAGGGGTCAATGATATAATTTCGCATTTATATATTGTCTGAGTTAAGTGACATTAATATGCACCATACAATAAGATATTTATTTTGTTCTATAATTAACAGAAAAAAAATAGTATTTATTTAATATAGAATGACAAAATAGACATGATTAAAAATTAAAATTTGATATAAATATTGTGTTTACAATACGTATGATTTTTTTCAAAAATTTTCATAAAAAACAAATCAAAGAAAAATAATCTAGGTCACGAACTTGTAGGGAGTTATATATTCCATTTTATTTTTGTATATGAGCTTTTTTATAAGTTTACAGTACATTGAGTATAATGCAATTTAAGTGTCAAAAGACGCGTTGTAGTAAAAAAAAAATGTTAATCAGGCCACACAAGTCACACTGGCAAATGTTACACCAAAAGTGCGATTTTGCTGAGCCACAAATTGTGTGACAAAATAGATCTGTGTGACATTAATTTTTGCATTTATATTCGAAAAAACAAACCTTTGTTCTTTATTTTTTTCCCGAACGAATGAGAGAAAATGTGAAGGGGGTCTAGTTCAACACAGGACCTACCCTATAAGTGAATAGTGACGGCAAAAGCATATGTTATGAAAGGCTGAGGGACTCGCAATTCCGAGATCGCCAGGCGTAAAGTCAACTTTGCGTCTTGCAAGTAGATCTACATGTGAAGAGGTATGAAAATTTCCCATACATGTGCTTTCAAGGCTTTTTTGACATCATACGATAATGTTAATCACTTTTCTTATCTCCTTAGTTTTTTTCTTCCCAACAGCAGGATATAAAGCGTGTAGGAATATGTAGAAGTTCTGCCAACTTTCCTGCAAAAATCATTCCCGTAAATTAACGTAAAACAAGGTATGTATATACTAGTAGTTATGTATGCATGGGAACGAGTTTTTCTCTTGTATTTAGGAATCGGAATGTCTTCAACCTCTACTAAAGCTGACATGTTATTTTGCAGGGAGATCCTAAATTAAGAGTAGAACTTGACAATAACTTTTTTACGAAGTTTCGTGATGAAAAAATTACCGGTAATTCATTTCTCAAGCTAACCGGGTGGGAATTTAAGGAATACGGAATGACATTAAGACAAGCAAGAACTTGAGGATTACATTAAAGAGCTGAGTAAGTGATTAATTTAGCCTCAGGCACTTTGCATAACGTTATAGCTGAAATCTAACTGTCATTACCTTTGGTAACAGGTGTTCGAGAAGCAAAAGAAGGTTTGGCGAAATATCACACCCAAAAAAATAATTAGTATTTTTATTTGCATCATATAAATCGATCTATTCGCAATTTTTATTTTATGTATCAGTCAAGACGTTTTTATTTCATAAATAAAGTACTGTACGAGAAACGAGTCACGTCAGTCATGTGTAAAGATGCAATGCCTGTGCGACATAAAAACCTATATTAACGCTCAGCGCCTCAGCCCAATAATTTTTATTTCACTCCGGAACGTAACACTATTTTTTTTTTATCCGAGCCAAATAACCCTATAAAAGTGCTATGCCTGAAACTAGTACACCTTATACTCCAGCTCAGCTTCCACCTCCACTACTGTTGCTGGAAATGAGACGGTCTCGCTAGCGGACGAAAATAGAAAATATAAAACAGAGCTCATCAACTTCTTGCGTAAGGAAGAGGACTTAGAGCTCAGTGATAAGGTTTTCGAAATTTTAGAAAGGGTAGAGGTTAATGGCCGCGACTTCCTCAAGGTAACCGAAGAAAAGCTTCGCAGTTATGGAATGGCAGTGGACCTGCGTCAAGGCTTACGGATTTCGCTAAGGAGTGCAAGGAGAAAAAGTTGAAGTCGTTCTCCTCGTACAAGACTAAGAAAGACTTAAATGAGATCTTGCGTAAGTACGGAATCGACAGCAATGATACCAAATAAATTCCGCCATTCGTACCAGAACCCGTGAAAATCGATGACGCAAATAAACATTTCCAATATTGTATAGCCGAGATTAAACGAAAATGGGTATCATAGGTTCGGCAAAAAGCAGTAACAAGGCTGTACGTTGTTCGTATATTGAAACAATACTACTTTCAGCAATATATAGTCAAAGATATCACCCGGCAGAGAATGTCCTTCGAAGTCATTGGTGAGGAAGCAACGGAACGAGTCGATTTTGCAATCAAAAAAATAATGGATTCGTTGAATGAGGAACTTGTTGCATCACCGAAGGTAAGCAGAATCAAGAGGTCTTGGGCATTATGCAGAATGTGATGCAACTTGAAAGCTCCTACCACACGAATAAGAGAAAACGAAAGGCGTCTGAAGCTTTCGATGATGATTTCAACTACCTCTACGGGATCGTTACAACAGGTGAGATTTTTGATTGCGTAACATACCGTATGATGATCTAAATGTTGGATGATGTTATTAACTATTGTCTATTCTAGCCACGGATTGGTACCTTATCATGTACACGCCAAAAAGAATTTATTGTACGAAGGCCGACTATCACATTGACCTTACTGAGGATATTTTAGATGATGATGCAAAACTTTGTCAAGGGGCGAAGTAGGTCATGGGTAATCGTAGGTTTGTTGAAAGATAGGGTAGAAGTTGTCAAGTTGATGACGCCCAGATAGTAAGAGAGAAAATATATTAAGGAATGAGTATCCACAATCATTAGCATAGTCACGGGCAAAGTCCCGAACTTTGTATCTATTTCTCATCTATTAATAAAATTTTTTTCTTGGCAAAACAAATTTTCCATGATCAACCGGCATAATCTAATAGTTTTCTTTGCCAGAATGGCATATCTTCTTATATGTACTAACGAACTTTACATAAAAATCATTTTTAAATTTATTTTTACTTGCACTTTCCCAACCAAATTGGGCTTCATTTTTTACGCATTATAATATTTATTTTTTATTGATCATAATAATTTTTATGTTACATTTAAAATCTAGAACCTTCTCACATTTAGCATAAAAATATATATAACTATCGCATAGGCTATATTTCTAATTTAGCAGGTAAATTAAAACTTATTCAAGACAAAAAAGACAAAAGCAAAAGATGTAAGCTTTATCGCAAGACATAGTTAAGGAGGAGACAGAAGCTTTATATATATTAAGGTGCAGTTATCTCACTTTTACTCTATTAGCAAACTAGCTTCTGCTGACTTTTCTGCTTGACATTCAAGTTCCTCATCAGGTATTATCTCACCAGTGTCTTTTGTAATGATACACTTCTTTTCTGGATGGTATATAATGTTTGCAAAACCTCCCATTTCATTAATTCCTAAGATATACATGTCTTGTGTAAGTTTGCACCATTCAAAAAGAATACCACGGCTATCTAAAAACAGAACAGACATCCCATCATTATCTTCAAGCAACGGATTAATGTCGGTAATACCATATGCATCATTGAAATATTCCTTATTTTCCTGATCTATTAACCATTCATGTTCTGGTTGGAGTTCACAGAACCCACGATTTTTCTTGGTCTCCTCAACCAATACTGACAAGCTTGGCAATTCTTGCATGGCAATATTATTTTTCCTGAGCGAATTGATATCATTCGAGACTTTATTGGGATATCCGGTTTGAGCTGACATAACGATGTCCAAGCATCCATCTCCGCACAGTTCCCGAATTCCCACCTTGATATCTTTTGAATCACATCTCCATTTTGTTCCTGAGGAAACAGATGTTGGTCGTTCCTTTTCCGATTGAAGCTAATTCTTTCTTTCTTTCCAAGATGAGAGCTGAACTTGCTACACCAAACGCAACAGCTATAATTTTTTCCTGGTTTGACTTCCAAGAAACATTGATCGTTGTTGGATGACTTCTGGAACTGCCTATTATTATTAACACTGGCGAATTTGTTCCAGATGCCAAAAAAGGAATTTTGTCTGGCTCAGATACGTAAATTTCATTTTTTTTTTTGACTTGGGGTCTTTCTTTGGGGGAGGGATGTTGAATGTATAGAGGTAGCTGAGGGTGTCTCATGGTGTAATTATCATGATCATGGTTCCATTCACTTTTACACACATTTCTTGTAAATTGGCGCATGTTTCAGTTCTTGCTTGAATTTTTCTTCAACAGAACACTATTCATATATTGGAAAAATATTCAGTGGATTTTATTAGGGTGGCAGTTATCCATTTTTCATTGCACCAGTGTTAAAATCCACTAGAGACTATTCAGAAGAATTTCTCTTGAAATAGGGAGTATATTCTGATATTATGAGTTTTTAGATTAAGAAATATTAAAACGATTCAAGGGAAAATTATTGTATATAAGAATTATAATTAGTTTGAAATCCTAACAATTTGAGGAAAAAGACCATTAATTATATTATTTTCATGTCGCACCATAGTTGTGAAAATTATTATTTGTTATAAATTATTGTATATAAAAATTAATTTGAAATCCTAATGATTAGAGAAAAAAAGACCAATATTTATATTATTTTCATGACACACCAATAAATCCAATAAATTTTTCTTAATTGTTATAATTGTTTAATAGCTATTGTGATTAGTACAGCCAGCAAGCTTATTTTTTTTTACTAATCAATCTTTTTTTCTGATTGGATTAGTACAGTTAATAGGTAATACAACATATCGCTTCTATATGAATTCCGAGTATTAAAAGGTTATTCAGAGCTATTTTCTTGACGCCGTATAAGTTCTCCGAAAATCGGTTTCCATTTTCCTTCTTTTTTTTTTCTTTTTTTTTTCTTTAGTATAATGATAATAATAACCAACTTTTTTTCTTAAAAAAAAAAAAATCGATACTTTAATATATTATAAAGTATAAAAAAATTTAAAATATATATAAAATCAAAAAAAGGTCAAAATTTTCTCAGTATTTCGAATTTTTTTAGCGTTTTCTTTGCATAATAAATTATATTCTAAAAAAACAATAAAATATATATATATATATATATATATATATATATATATTATCATAATGTATTATTATAGAGAACAAAGTCCCCTAAAATTATCAATAATAGCGTTTATTTTACTATTTCTTATAACAGACTGACAAACGCAATTTCTGAAATATCATATCAGGGTAGTGGGAGAAATGAACCAGGTAAATAAATTATTACTATCATAAATTTAAGATATCAAAATGGGTTGACCTTTTTTTTTTCTTTTAATAGGTGACGTGAGAGCATCTATTCTATTAACTCCAGATGGAAAAGAAATTATTTAGAAATGGGAAAAAAAGATGGAATGACATATGCTAATGAAATGTTTGATGAAATATCAAGGGCACTTGCGATTGAAAAAGGACGTATTTTTATACCATATGAGAGATATCAATTTAAAAGAAATACACGTGAAATTTTGTTACGTGTAGACATTAAAGATACCAAGATGCCAGATCAACCAAGTTTATCTGCATTAAGAAAAAGTTTAGATAAAGCTGTTGCCGCGTACAGAAAATTTAGATCCCACTTATGAAGCTCCAGAATATCGTAAGTTTACATATATTTTTTGGGGGGAGGGAAATATTTCGTGCATTTTAAATAATTATTTAATTATTGATTTATTTATAAGTATATATGTTTAAAATATTTAAATAGCTCATTTATGGCATAGATATAAATACATATTAATTGGAGTCGGAATTAAATTATATTTGTTACTATTATTATACCGTTATTTAAGTGGATTGTGTGGATTGTGTGTTAGATATTATAGTATTAGCAGTTTATGGAAAAGATCTAATATGTTACTTCATTTGCAGGTGCGTATTTCCCCTCCTTGCTCTTTTTGTAATATTATATTATAACATACTTATATTTTTCTTTTTTCTTCTCAAACATATAAATAATTATAGTTGGGTGTTTTTTTTTAGTATCAACTCTTTCAATATAATAATATTATGGTTTCTTATAGATTACCAATTAATTCATTCATCGCAATAGAATAACGGTTATATTTTTTAGTAAAATAATGAGTTTAATCATTAAAGATTTTTCTCGGAATTTATCGATCGAAACCTCGTATTACTTCTTTCTTTATGAAACTCTCAGATTTATTTCGTTAATTCGTTTATTTTATTTGAATCCTTGTTTAGCCCATCTTTATCATCAGACAGATATACGTCGTCCAAGATGTGGTCGGCGCCACAATTACTCGTGTCATCAACAAATATGATGGAATCTTCATTTTCATTTTGATAGAGGTAACAATTTGATAGAAGAAATAATTAAAAAATCTTGACGAGAAATTTGATGGAATAAGTGCGATGTCATATTATCATTTAAAAGACGTATAATTGTGTAAGAAAAAAAATTTCTCACGAAGTGGTTAGAAACTATTTGCCATATTAGTTTGTTGAGTACAGCATTTCAAGTTGCTAGTGAATTGAAGGGCAACAGGGAAATGATACATTCAATTATTTTAATTTAACGTTTTCCTATTACCAAAAATTAAATCACTCAGAGGTTAACTTTGGAGAATATCAAATATGTGGGATTACATGACGCCCATGAAATGCGGCTTTAACGTATGAAAGAATAAGGACATTTGCTACATTGATCGGCATCACGGGTCCGGTTATATCAGTTATATCACGTGATTACTGCGTGACATTTACTGCGTAACACGACCATTAAATAATTGCGGCCACTATTCACTTGAAAATATTGCAGAAATTATTTGTCTGTTGCTATGGCATATTTTATAGTCTGGTAAATTTGTCTATTCTGTTAAAAATTTTTATCAAGATCAATACAAAGAGTGAAACAGGACCCGAATGATGCATAAAAGATAAGCGTAAAACGACTTGGACAATTCCTGGCGGCATTACGTAATTCCGGCCCTGAAGAGATACGTAGAGCTAATGGTAACTAAGCGTATATATTGCTCGGGTCCTAGTGAAACAGTGATACGATTGAATATTTAAACTAAAATATTATTAGATTTCATGTTTATTGGATTCGAGCTTTCAATCAATACTTTCTAGTAATTTAATAGCTAGTTTGGAAAGACAGAATTTTCATGTTATTATCATTATTTTATATTTTACAGCTGGCGTTCTGTATAAGACATACTGGCAGGGCATACGTACGCTTCTTGTAATTTTGTCCATGGAAAAATTTAGTTATCTAATAAAAAATTGGTTTGAAAGTTTGGTTATAAAATATGGTAGAGTTTATTTGAGAGATTCCCGTAATAATATTGTATGACTATTATCTTTATCGAAAAATTCTAAAATGAATTTTTATGATAAAATAATTTTTTTTAGTAGTAATTAAGGAAACAAAATACTCTTTATTAAAATTTTAAGTTTCTAATTATTAATAGTGTTTTATATATTAATGTCATGATTTAAATACAAAGATTAATGAATTATGTTTAAGTAGGATTAGAGTTACGTTTATAGTATCATTATATTTCATATTGTACTAATATTAACAATTCCATTTGAACTATAGTAAATGAACAATTTCGCCAATAATAATGATCTTACTAATTAAAATTGATAATGTATTTAATATTATGCGAATAACGAGTTAAACTAAGTATTTCATTTAGATATATCAAGGCACTTTTGATACCAATAGGAAGCTTTTGCTTTATCTTTTTCAGTGCCAATTCCATGTTCATAACACATTGCTAAAATATTTTGTGCTTCCTTATCTTCATTTTCTGCTGCTTTTTCATACCAGTAAAAAGCTTTAATTTCATCTTTTTCAGTACCACTTCCATTGAAATAACAATATCCTAAGTTGTATTGTGCTTCTCTAACTCCATTTTCTCCTGCTTTCTGATACCAATAAAGAGCTTCAGCTCCATTCTTTTTAACACCAATTCCATTATCATAACATATTCCAAGATTATATTGTGCATGATTATATTCTTGTTCGGCTGCTTTTTCATACCAATAAAAGGCTTTAGCTTCATCTTTTTCAATTCCAATTCCATTCTCATAACATATACCCGTTATATATTGTGCTAATTCATCTCCATTTTTTGCGGCTTTTTTGTACCAGTAAAAAGCTTTGGTTTCGTCTTTCTCAGTACCAATTCCATTAAAATAATAATGTCCTAGGTTGTATTGTGCTTCACTAACTCCAATCTTTGCTGCTTTTTTGTACCAGTAAAAAGCTTTGATATCATCTCTTTTAATACCGATTCCATTCCCATAGCATATACCCATTATATATTGTGCTTCATTAATTCCATTTTCTGCTGCTTTATGATACCAAAAAAAAGCTTTGATTTCATCTTTCTCAGTGCCAATTCCTTTCCCATAACATTCACCCAAATTATATTGTGATTCCTTATCTCCACTTTCTGCTGCTTTATGGCACCAGTAAAAGGCTTTAGCTTCATTTTTTTCAATTCCAACTCCATACTGGTAACACATACTTAAATTATATTGTGCATCTTTATCTCCACTTTCTGCCGCTTTTTGATACCAATAAAAAGTTTTAAATTCATTCTTTTCAACTCCAATTCCATTAAAATAGCAGTCTCCTAAATTAAACTGTGCTTCTCTAAATCCATTTTCTGCTGCTTGTTGATAACAATAAAAAGCTTTAGCCTCATTCTTTTCAATGCCAACTCCATTTTGATAGCATACACCTAAATTAAATTGTGCATTACTAAGTTGTTGACCAGCTGCTTTTTGATACCAATAAAAGGCTTTAGCTTCATTTTTTTCAATACCAATTCCATACTGGTAACATAAACCTAGATTAAATTGGGCATCTTCAAATCCTTTTATTGCCGCCTTTTGGTACCAATAAAAAGCTTTAACTTCATCTTTTTCAATACCAATTCCATTTTCATAATACACACCTAAATTAAATTGTGCTTTTTTATCTCCATTTACTGCTGATTTTAAATACCAATGAAAGGATTCAATTTTATCTTCCTCAATATCAATTCCATTCTTATAAAATATATCAGGTTCACTTTGTATATAGTTTTTGGACATTTTTTTAAAAAATAATTCTTAAAAATGTTTGAGTTAATATAGATCGACATGTTTACGAATTGTGACAAATAGGCGATCTCATGGTTTCATAAATCAAATATGTGTCACCTGAGTGTAACCTTACCATCTACACTCATTACCATAATTACAAAAATTGATTATTATACAAATAAAATTAGGAAATTGGTCCGAATTTCAGCAAATGTATCACAGTTTTAAAAACATTTGGATTTTACAAATAGTGTACGATCTTAATTAATATTAGTAAAGGATTTCTTTCGTGTAAATTTGACATGGTATATCAGTTTATCATTTTGTCTTTTTCTAGGTTATTTTCCATCTTCTTATTTCCGCTCTTGCATCTTTTGTTGTTCTGTTAATATTTAAAATTATTTCTAAATATATTTTGTTTATAAACGACTGTGCTCTTTTATTTTATATCATATTTTAGACGGAAATAAAATAATATTACGTCAAACTATCTTGATTATTTATGAACTTATTTATTTACAACGGTTACAGTATGTTTCGCCGAAACTCAATTATCGAATTTAATCTCCCCGAAGGGTTTCACCGAAGGGATATTTTACCGAATGGGCGTTTCATTGAAGACATCTCGCCAAAATCGTCCATTTCATTGAAGTGCACGTCACCAAAAATGTTAGTGATTAACATATTTCCTTAATAAATAAAAGTTAATAAAAAATATATTATTCATACAAACAAGTAGTAGTATATATATAGAAAAATTATTAAACTAAAAAAGAAAATAAAAAATATTTCGGAAATTGATGAGTACGACGAATTTGTTTTTTTATTTAACTTACTGTAAGACCGAATAAATTAATTAATTTTAATTAAAAAAAAAATTAAACAACAATGTGGAAACGAAAGGAAAATTAATAAATTCCATATCTAATATCTTCGGCGAAATGTCCCTTCTCCGAAATGGCTTCAGCGAAATGGCACTTCGGTGAAACATTCTTCGGCGAAAAGTCCGGATACCATTTACAACATAATTCGACAATCTTTTTTTAACATTTCCGATATTTATCAAACGCTCTTGAAAAAGTGTTACAGATACTTTTAGTAACTACATTAAGAAACTTAACTGCAATAATAAAGTTAAATTCGAGTACAATTATATGTCGATATGCAAAAAATTAGTCCAAGAAAATTGGTTTGCCTAAAAATAATAATAAAAAAGAAAGAAAATTTTATTATCGCTACTTCCGCCATTGGTCACGTGACAACGCTTGAAGCTTGTTACTTAAATTTTTTATTATTTTCCCTCGTTATTGTTCGTGCTACTATTTACTATTAACATCGGATCATACTTTTCTTCTTTTTAATTTGTCATTTAAAGTTTCTGCTTTCGTCTCATCGGAATAGGCCGAGTGTTCCCCTGGATAGCGCCGACGTCAAAATTTTCAGATTAAAGCTTTTTTGTTACAAATGCTGTGGCTTGAATATAGTGATTTTATGACTCAAAATATAATAATTAATTTTTTTCTTACGCCTTTATTATCTTGAAACTTTTTATTATCCAATAATTGGTAAAAAGTTCACAGCTGGAATCGTTGTCTCATATTGAAGCCTTTCGCGTTCTTTGCATTCTTAAGGTTTCAGTTAGTTGGGTACTAACACC